CCGCTGCCATGATCCCGGGAAAGCTGGGCAGGGTCTGGAGGAGCCGCTCATCCCTTTGGAGAATCCCACCCTGCTTTTCCTTCCAGTTGTTGCCGCCCTGCCCGGACAACACCCGGCGCTTCCCGAGCCTCGGGTGTGTTTCCAACCCTGCCTTTCCCTTCACATTCCAGAGCCACCTCCTTCCCGGGATTTGGCACGTCAGCGGGAAAAGCGATTCGGCGCAGCTGGGCTGGGACAGCGTTAAAAAAGCGGGAGGAAAATGGGAAAACAGGGAACAATCCAGCTGGGGGTGTTGGAAACTCTGGGATTGTGCCAGGGCTGAGTCATTCCCGGCCCTCCCAGCCCCTCCGACCGGGAATGACATTTGGGAATGGCAACAAATCCCGATTGGCTCAGCGCAAGGTGGAGCTGGAGCAGCCCAGCTTTAACCCCATCCTTGGTTTTTGCTGCTTGTGGGAATTTGGGAAGGACTAGAAGTCTGGATTGTGCGACAAATGTGGAAATTCCAACAGGAGGGGGAGGGAAAACAGGCAGGGGATTCTATGGGATGAGCAAACAGCCTCCAAAGGGGGAAATCAATATTTAATAAGAGAGCCCAGTGCTTCCCTGCCTCTGCTCCAGGAAAAAAAAAAAAAAAAGGATCTATGGATACACCTTCCTTGATCCAAGCGTGGGATGTCCTACACATCCCAAAGAAAAATGGGATCACCCAAATCCTCCATCCCGGATCCCAGTGCCTTTTCCAGACCTGCCTGTCTCCATTTCTGGGATCACGAGGCTGGGTCTTAAACTGCTTCCTTTGGAATTCCCCCTCTGGCACTACACGGGAATAGAAGGATCACCTTGGATCCCCTGATCTTGATTTTAGGTGGAAATTGGGAATTCTGTTCCCCAGAGCTCCTGTGGGGAGAGAAGACCTGTTTTCAATGGGGAAAAAATTGTGAGACAGAGGGGGAAAAAAGAAGGAATCAACTCCTCATGGATCCCCTGGAATGCTTCCTTCCTGTGGTAATTCCATGTTTATTCAGGCAGCATCTGCCTATGGATACACATAATAATAATAATAATAATAATAATAATAATAATAATAGGGATCTGAGGAGCTTTTCCTTCTTGATAGAAGGCTTCCAGAGGCATGATTCCCACTTTCCCAGCTACTATCCAGCCTAGTATTCCAGCTGTGCTCCACTTCTTCCATTTCCAGGAGGAAAGGGTTTGGGAAGAGTACTCCATTTCTATCCCAAAGAAATTTCCAAGCATGGATCTGCTGGGAGTCAGTGGGATTTCTCCTCCCTGGAATTGGGGCAACTGCTTCCAAATGGAAACTGAAATGGAATTCCTGGTTTTAAACACAAAGTGGGCTGGAAAAATGGGAAAAAACTCACGGATTGTGTCCTGACTTGGCATCCAGCAAATTCCTTGGAGCTGCTCAAAACACCCGGAGCAGCTCCCTCCCAGCTGGCAGAGACCCCATGGAGCTCCTGGAATTTTGTCTTGGATTTTATCTGCAGAGATACAGAATTCCTGGATTTGCTCCAGGTTGTTTTGAACATCCCCCCTCCTCCAGCTTTAGGCTGGAAGCTGCTCCAACATGGGAAAAACGTGGACAGGATAAAAGGAGGGAAGGATCAAGAATGCCAGCATGGAATCTGGACTCCAAGGAACAAAATCCCTGCTTCCATGAAAAGGAAGGAGATCCCTGGAAGGAACGGGATAATTTGGGATGGGAACTGCTCCTTCCTTTCTTTGTTTCCATCTAGGTGGGCATTCAGCCACTCCATGAGAAAAATCATGGAATGGTTTCAGTTGGAAGGGATCTTAGTTCCTCTTCTCATTCCATGGGCAGGGACACCTCCCACTATTCCAGGGTGCTTCAAGCTGCCCTTGGAGACTTCCAGGGATGGAGCAGCCACAGCTTCTCTGGGAATCTGTGCCAGGGCCTCCCCACCCTCCCAGGGAAGGATTTATTCCCAATATTCCATCTAAACCTGCTCCCTACCAGCAGGAAGCCATTCCCCTTCTTCTGTCACTGCATCCCTTGGGAATAATCTCTCCCAGTTTCCCTCCTTGGCTTCTTCAGGTCCTGGGATGCCACAATTGGATTATCCTGCAGCTCCTCTTTGCCAGGCAAAGAGCAATTTCAATTCTCCCAGTTTTTCCTCCTGGCAGAACTGCTCCATCCCTCTGATTATCCCAGTGCCTCCTCTGGATTTGCTCCAACACCTCCACGTCCTTCCTGTGCTGGGAGCCAGACCTGCCACTCCATGAGAAAAATCATGGAATGGTTTCAGTTGGAAGGGATCTTAGTTCCTCTTCTCATTCCATGGGCAGGGACACCTCCCACTATTCCAGGGTGCTTCAAGCTGCCCTTGGAGACTTCCAGGGATGGAGCAGCCACAGCTTCTCTGGGAATCTGTGCCAGGGCCTCCCCACCCTCCCAGGGAAGGATTTATTCCCAATATTCCATCTAAACCTGCTCCCTACCAGCAGGAAGCCATTCCCCTTCTTCTGTCACTGCATCCCTTGGGAATAATCTCTCCCAGTTTCCCTCCTTGGCTTCTTCAGGTCCTGGGATGCCACAATTGGATTATCCTGCAGCTCCTCTTTGCCAGGCAAAGAGCAATTTCAATTCTCCCAGTTTTTCCTCCTGGCAGAACTGCTCCATCCCTCTGATTATCCCAGTGCCTCCTCTGGATTTGCTCCAACACCTCCACGTCCTTCCTGTGCTGGGAGCCAGACCTGGATGCAGAATTCCAGGTGGGACTTCCCCGAACCCGAGGAGAAGGGATGTGAAAACCTAAACAAAGCAATTCCTTTTCCTGGCACTTGGAATTCTCTTGCCATTAAACCCCTTCTAATCCCTGCTCCTCTACATTGCCCAAATTCCCAAAATTTCATGTAACAGGAGCTCCCCTATTCCAACAACCTTCCCAGAGCTTCCCAACCCCAGCTTCGTGTCCTTGTGATGTCTCCAGAGGGAGCCGAGTTCCTCCAATTCTTTTCCCAGCACAGGTGTCCCCCCCTCCGGCTCCATTGTCCCTCTTCCCAGTCCTGGGATTTGCCGCCGCTGACGTCACACATTCCACGCCCTTTTCCTTCTTTAACCTCTGAGTGACATTTTCAAACCAATTCCTTAATTTTCAGCAATTCCCGATTTTTTAAATTGGTTTTAATTAATCGCATTGGATATTCCCTTTGGTGGGAATTATGCTCTCCAGGAGATCATGGGGATTGGATTCCTATGGAAAATGGAGGATTATGGATGTGTTCAGCCAAAGGGGATTGGGAGAGAAAATCCTCTTAAAGTTTGGAGCCAGGACTTGGATTTTCAATGGGAACATCCAAGAAAATTTAAGGAGTGTGGAATATTCAATAAAAAACAAAGAAGCACAAAAAATTTCGCAAAATATTCCCACATAAGCTTGGAACATGGAGATCTTCCTAAAAGTGATGGGAGGGAGCTTTCCTATCCATGAAACTCTTGGAAAGAGGGATAAATGAGGTTTTAGGTGTTTGTTTTTTTTTTTTTTTTAGCCCTTGGAAAAGGTTTTTAGCTTTATTTCTGCAACCATTCCATGAATTTTATGTGGTTTTGAATAAGAAGTTTTTCCCTGGGACAGGATTCCTGATTGGACATCCTAAGAAAGAACATTCCCATCAATTCTTTGATTATGCTGGAATGACTTTTAATATTTAAATGATATTTAAATATTTTGGGCTTTTCCCCAGTTTGGGAATATCCAGAGGAGCTTTAGTTTAAAATTCCCAGATTTTGTCCAGGAAAACTTGGTTGGATAAAAAAGGCCAGGTTGGGGTGTGGAAAGAAGTTGTTGGTTGGAAAATTGTGGGATCAGCCAGGCAGACAAACCATGATCCGTGTTTTTCCAACAGCGGAGCCGTGTCCTGGGCTGGCAGCAGGGAACTGCTTCTGTGCTGAGCTCTCTTATTCCAAGTCCAAAAATACTCCCCCCTTTCCTGGAATTCTAGATAAATCCAATTAGAAACAGCATCCAGGTGGGGTTTCTCCCTCCCAGTTTTTTTGGAAGTTGTTTTCCCACAATGCTCCGGTTTGGGAGCGTTGGCTGTGGCTCCCTGAACCTTCACTTGGATGGGAGATTCCAGAAGATATCCCAGCAGTCAGGGCTTTCCCAGGAATGCTGTGCATGAGCTGGGCTGGGAATAATCCACAGTTTTAATTGGGATTTTTGGCAGCTTTTTTATTTAGGAGGGAAGTGAAGGAGCAGATTCCTGGTTTTAATTTCTCTGCTGGATCATGGCCATTCCCTCAAGAATTCCAAACCCACCTAACCCAAGAAATTCTCAAGTGAGCAGTGGATCCATGGCTGTGCCAAGCCGGAAAAGACCCCCCAGACTCCCAGGCTTAAATCCTGAATCGGCTCCTGCCAGAGTGATGCTTCAGGAGAAACCCTGGGAATGCAGGGAGGCAACTGGGATCAGCCTAGTTGTTACCACAGAGCATCCCCCCATCAAGGTCTGGAACAGCCCATTCCAGTGGAATTGTCCCTGCCCTGCTCATGGATGAGCTTTTCCAGCCCAAACCTGGAATTCTGTGAGGAATCCTCATCCATGGAATGCCAGGACAGTGCTGCTCGGGATGGCACCGGAGCCCGGCCGAGCTTGGCTCCATCCCGGTATTCCCAGGACCTTCTCACGACCCAGCTCCTATTTCAGGGCTCTTCCATCTATTTAAAGAAAGGGAGAAATGTGCTGGAATCTTTGCGCGTGCGCGGGAGAGGCCACGCCAAATATTCCCTCTTTTTTAGAGGCTGATATCCACGGATCCCACGGCTATTTGGCTGGGATGTTTTCCTTCCCCTTTTAGCAACACGTGCCTGAAAAATCTCGGCCCGTATTAGGGCTTGGAAAACTCAGCTGCTGCCGGAGGGAATAAATCAAATTCTTGGAGGGAGAAAAAAAAAAAAAAAAGCAGGAACACCACAAAAATAAAAGCATAAAAGCAGGAACGCAGCGTGTTTTACCCAAAACTTTGGGATGGGAGCGAGGAGCCGGCGGGAAAGGTGCTATAAATACACATTTTGCTGTTGGCTTTTCGCAGATATGAGGATGAGTGCTGTACGTATCATGCTAAAATAACTTTGCTTTTATTTCTGCTATTAACAAAAACTTGGACACGGCAGTGGGGGTGGCTGATGTGGTTGTGAGGGAACTGTTTGGTCGGGATAACATCCAGCGAAGGCGTGATGTGGATCCTGCTGCTGATATGCCAGCTATCAGCATCTGCCGTCTGATGGGAGCGGGGACCGAGGCCCAGAGTGGGAGTGATGAAGAGGAACCAAAAGCACAGCCAAGGGACACGCACGCTCTGAAAAGGCGGGCCCGAGGAGGGGCCGTGTAAAACGCTTCCCGGGATATGGAAACTGGTTTATGGATATGCATCCATGAAGATGCAAAGGACTGAGGTAATGGAAAAGGTGTTTAAGGGGTATCCCCGAAGGTGAGGGGGTGCTCTTGGCTGAGTGCCAGGATGCACCCGGCCGTAATCTTTGCTTCACTTTGTCTCCTGTTGCCCTTTATTAAACTTTTTAAATTTTCACAGGAGAGCGAACGTGTTTTTCACAAAGGGAAGCCGGGAAGCGCAACGAGGTGCACGCTACAGGAAGCCGCGGCCTCCGGTGATAAATAGGAAAGCCGGGAGCACAGGATGTGTTTCGGGAGAGCTCGGCGGGACAGCGGGATGTGACCGCCGGCGGTGACTCCGCTGGTCATTTGTCCATTTGTCCGGCGGGATGGCCACGCTCCGGCCGCTCCTGCTGCTGCTGCTGGCCTGGCGCTGCGGAGGGGACGACGTGGAGGTGCTGTGTGCCGACAGCGCCTGCTACACCCTGCACCGGGATGAGAGCAACTGGAAAAGCGCCCAGGAGCGCTGCGAGGACAACGGGGGCAACCTGGCTCCGGTGGGCAGCGCCGGCGAGGCCGCCCGGCTGCGGGAGCTGCTGGCCAGCGCCGCCTGGCCCGGCCCGGCCTGGCTCGGGCTCGCCCTGCCCAGGGGTCACTGCGTGCGGCCGCAGGAGCCCCTGCGAGGCTTCTCCTGGGTGGCCGGAGGCGAGCCGGGCAACTTCTCGGAGTGGGCATCCGAGCCGGCCGTCACCTGCGTGAGCGCCCGCTGTGTCGCCCTGCGGCCACCCGGCCCGCACGGCCCCGGCGGCTGGGCCGACCGCGCCTGCCGGAGCACGCTCCCGGCTTTCCTCTGCAAGTTCAGCTTCCAGGGAATGTGCGGGCTCCTGCCGCTGGCCGGCCGCGGCACGGTCACCTACGCCACCCCGTTCGGGGTGCGCAGCGCCCGCCTGGCCGCCGCTCCCTTCGGCACGCTGGCCGAGGTGGAGTGCGACAGCGGCCGGGCCTCGGCCTTCGCCGTCTGCAAGGGGCCGCTGGCCGGGGGTGGCTTCGCCTGGCACCCGCCGGGTCCCCTGTGCCCGGTGGACTGCGGCCACCACAACGGGGGCTGCCAGCAGCGCTGCCTGGATGCGCCCGGCGAGTCCCCGCGCTGCGCCTGCCACCCCGGCTACGTGCTGGCCGCCGACATGGCCTCCTGCGTTCCCGAGGATTTCTGCCATCCCAATCCCTGCCAGGGATCCTGCCGGGCGCTGCCCGGCGGCTTCGAGTGCGGCTGCGAGCCTGGCTACGCGCTGGCAGCCGACGGGCGCGGATGCTGGGATGTGGATGAGTGCGAGTCGGGGCCGTGCCAGCACCAGTGCCACAACACTCCCGGCGGCTTCCAGTGCCTCTGCCGGCCCGGCTACCGCCCCGCGGGGCCCGCTGGCCACCACTGCCACGACGTGGATGAGTGCGCCCAGCCCCACGCGTGCCCGCAGCTCTGCATCAACATTCCCGGCTCCTTTCGCTGCGCCTGCCGGCCCGGCTTCCAGCGGCAGCCGGGAGGAGAGTCCTGCCTGGATGTGGATGAATGCCTGCGGGATCTGTGTCCCGGCGCCTGCCGCAACTTTCCCGGCGGCTACGAGTGCCTGTGCCCGCCCGGCTCCCTCCGGGACGCGGATGGGCACGGCTGCAGCCCCGGAGAGGCGATCCCAAACAGTATCCCAGAGAGCTCGAGCATCCCGCAGAGCTCCAGCAGCATCCCACAGAACTCCAGCAGCACCCCACAGAGCTCCACCGTCATCCCACAGAGCTCCGGCATCCCACAGAGCTCCGACATCCCAAAGAGCTCCGGCATCCCAGGCACCACGCGCATCCCATGGACCACGAGCATCCCGCGTACTCTGGGAATGCCCACCGCGGGATTAGGGGCCGGCTCGGACGACGGCCCGCGGCTGCTGCTCTATTACATCGTGGGCAGCCTGGTGGCCATCCTGCTCCTGCTGGCGTTCGCCCTGGCGCTCGTGGCTTGCAGGAAAAGGGCGGCCAAGAGGGAGAAGCCGCCGGCCAAAAACGCGGCCGATAATTATTGCTGGGTGCCCGAGCAGCCCGAGAGCCGCGGGGAGCGCAGGTAGGAGAGGGTTAAAAATCCCGATAAAAGGGTGGGAGGGAATGCTTTGTGCCCAAAGTGAGCTCCTCTGGCTGTTCCAGTGGGATTTGCAGTCCTGCTGCTCCAAGGGTTAACGACAGGGGAGAGGGGATGGGGTGGAATTTGTCTCCTCAGCTCGGCTCCAAAAGGCAAATTCGGAATTATTGGATCGTGTTCCTAAAGGGAAACTGCTCACTTGGAATTCTCCTGCAGCCCCTTGTGCACCACCCCCTCTGGGTTTGTCTTGTTCTCCTGGAAAAGGGTTTGAAGTTGTAATGGAAAAGGGCTTGAAATTTGGGATGGAAAAGGGTTTGAAATTGGGATGTGCCTCAGCAGAGCTCGAACAGGCCCCTGCAGGCACAGCCAGGGTGGGGTTTAAGGGTTACTTTTGGGGTTTAATTAAAAATCTGTCACCTGAAACCAGGGGAAACTGCTCATCATGGAGCCAAGGAATGGCATAAAGGTAGGAAAAGCTATGTTTGGAATAACCACCTCCTCATTTCCTGAGTATCCTGCCTAAATACACTTCTAAACAGAGAAAACAATGCTCTCCTTCCCATCAGCCACATGAGAGTCTGGGCTTTTCCTGTTGGATCATTTGTTTTGGGAAGGATCCTTCCCAGCTCCAGGCTGAGCATGTTTGCCCTCTTTCCCTGTGTAAGGAACACGCTGGAATTGGAATATTTGCTGATTATTCTGAGTAAAACTCGTAACTCCTGAAAAACTCTCCAGGCCAAGTTGCTCCCCAGGTACTTCCCAAAACTCCTTGAGCCTTTTCCAGCCCTTCCAGTGGGAATTCTCCCCAAAATTCTGAGGGGCACACCCAGCAGCACCTCCTCCATGGTTTATCCATGCTATGAAGGGCTGGAAAAGATCAGCCACAGGATTTGAAGGGTCCAGCAGCTTCCTGAAGTTTCTGTTGGAGTTATTTTGTCCCTGGAGCTGAATTGCTCCAGGAATGGGAATGGAACACAAAGGAGTTTGTGGTGGGCAGGGAGCTGCATCCTGTCATTCCGTGTGCTGAGGAAAGCCCTTTCCTGCTTTTTTCTTGTCTTGGGGCTCCATTGTGAGCTGCAAACAGGAAAATGGAGCTGATAGGAATGTTTTCTGTGTGGTGCCTGTATTGGGAGAAAGGGAGGGAATGCAGCAGCGGGATTCTTGGAAATCCTGCCAAAAATTCCCAAACCCAAGCCAGCAGAGCATTGGAAATAGCTGTATCAATGGAGGAAATCCCATGTAATTATGCTGGATTGGGATCTGTGGGAAGTGACAGCCTTGAGGTTTTTTTTTTGGGATATAAGGCTATAAAAATGGAAAAGGAAGAGTGAGGGTAGAAGAAGAACTGGGAAAAACCTGAGGTGTGCTGTTTATAAAAAATAAAAATCCCAATTTCTGTTGCAACCTCTGTGTATTCCACTGGGGAATGATGGTGGATCTAGGAGAAGACAGGAATTTGTACCAAGGTTTAGGTTGGATTCTCCCTAATGGAATATTTCCTGCTGTAGCATCCTCCCTCCTGGTGCAATTCCACCTGGATCCAGCCTCATGTCTCTCATTTTTCCTGCCACATCTTGATCCATGGCCTCCTTAGGGAGTTGTCCAGGGACTGGTGAATCCCACAAGTTGGAGCAGGATAATTTGGTGCTCTGTCTTCCACAGGAGATGGGATGTTCATCCTGCTCCTTGGAGATTTTTGTCATGGATGAGTGCTTTGCTTTCTCAGAATGAAACTCTTGGATTTGCAGGATAAAGTTATCCCAACACCTTTCTCCGATGAAATTCCATGAAAACCTGAACAAAAATGTGTTTGCAGTGGGTTTTAATAAAAATATTCCTAAAAATCTATGGTCTTGTGCTCCTAATCTTTGTGTTCCCCACAGTGGGTGGGTGGTGATCCCAAATCCTTTCCTAAGGCTTATTCCATTATCTCAGCCTTTCCCAGGATCTGTGGTCCTGGGCAGGTGCCATTCCCTTCATCCCTGCTGGGGCCATGGGGTGGGAGCATTGGGATGGGCTCTGTTGGATCCCAGTACCACAAGGAAGGTCCTAAATTCATGAGGAAGGTCCCAAACCCATAGAAAAGGTCCCAAAGCCACAAGAAAAGCCCTAAATCCATCAACAGGGTCCAAAACCCACAAGCAAGGCCCTAAACCCAGGAGGAAGGGCCCAAATCCATGAGCAAGATCCTAATCCCATGACCAAGTTCCTAAAACCACGAGGAAAGCCCACAAGGAAGGACCTCAACCCACGGGCAAGGTCCTGAGACCATGACCAAATTCCTTAAACTGTGAGCAAGGCCCCAGTCCCATGACCATGTTCTCAATCCCACAACCAAGATCCTGAGTCCATGGCCAAGGTCCCAGTCCCACAACCAAGAGCCTGATTCCATGGCCAAGGCCCCAATCCCACAACCAAGGTCCTGATTCCATGGCCAAGGCTCCAATCCCACAGCCAAGGTCCTGAGTCCATGGCCAAGGTCCCAGTTGCACAACCAAGATCCTGATTCCATGGCCAAGGTCCCAGTCCCACAACCAAGAGCCTGATTCCATGGCCAAGGTCCCAGTCCCACAACCAAGGTACTGATTCCATGGCCAAGGCCCCAATCCCACAACCAAGGTTTCAATCCCATGACCAAGGCCCTAATCCCATGACCAAGATCCCAAATCCTTGAGCAATCCCTTTGATTTCAGCACTGCTGTGCGCGAGGGCTTTTTCGGGATCAAATAATAGGATAGACCTCTTTTAGATCCTATTATCCCATGATATTTCATATTATTTTACATTCCGTTGCTTTCCATTCCTTCATGGACAACTGCCAGCATTCCAACAGAGCAACCTCATCCCAAAACCCTGCAGAGAAGCCAAAAATTCCCCCCTGTTGACACAAAGTCCCGGATTCGGGGGTCAGGACAAGCATTCCAAGTGCCCACTCTGAGCAGGGTGACAGGGACAGCCGGGATGAGTCAGAGCCAAAGGGAAAGGCAGGGAAAACATGATTAATGGGATTGGGGAAGAGGAAAAGCAGCCTGTCAGCAGGCAGGGCAATGCTGGCACCCTGACTCAGCCTGTGGAGCAGTGGGATAAAAGGGAATTATGAAAGCGTGATTAATCCCATTCCTCCCACCCCATCCCGATTATCTTTTAGGGACAAACGTTGTCAGTCGGGCAAGGCCAGCGAAGTGGGATCATTGTTTGGGAAGGCTCTGTTTTTTCCTGGAAAAAACCTTGACAAGGAATTTTTTATCTGGGTTTTCAGTTACTAAAAAAAAAAAAAAAAAAATTTTTTTATCTGGGTTTGCAGTTACTGAAAAAAAAAAAAAATAACAGCAGGAGCAGAAATTTATTGTTTTGGGGTTTTTTCATCTCCACCACATTCTGTTTTTCTTCTTTTCCTGGAGTTTGCCAGGATGTTTTCCCCCCTCTCTTGGTAGTTTTCTCCGGAAAACATAAGCAGAAGTAAAAGGAGAAGTGGAAGAAAAATTGGAAATAGTGAAAATTGTGGGAACAACAGGTTTTCCTAAAGTCAATAAAGGTCAGAGTTATCCAGCTCCCAGGAGATTCCTGGGAATGATCCTGCTTAGATAAATTCTTTGTTCCAAGCTCCCCCATGGACACTTTCTCCTTGAGGTTCATCCCTGCTGCTGGAATTAAATTCCATGGACATTTCTTTTCAATTTTTGTGGCAGATCCAAACTGTCGAATGGGATTAAAGAAGAGTTCATTATTAATTATTATTTATTAAATTATTCTTATTCTTATTCTTATTCTTATTCTTCCCAACTTCCCTTTTCCCCACAGCCTCACGGGATTTATGGGAAGCACCCAGGGTTGTGAGAGGACAAAACAAACCCCAAGGGTTTAAGAAAGGACAAACAAAGTTCAATAAAGTTCACTAAAATTTAATAAAGAAACCTCCTTGCCATGATCCGAGGAAATTGGGATTTGCTGCTCATCCCAAAGGCCAGTTGCAGTGCCCGGGGCTGTTGGAATTCCATGAAAAAACAGCCTCAAATCCCCTTTTTATGCAGTGGAGAAGCCTGGGACATTTCGGTTGCATTTTTAGGTTGCTCCTGGCTCTGTTCTGGCAGCACAGGGGGATCCCCCAAGGACAAACTGATGGAATGGGATATCCATTCGGAGGTGTCTGTGGGGAATAGGGGAGATGGGGAGAACAGTAATAATAATGCTTAATAATAATAATACCAAATATTATTGGTAGAACTATATAAATTATATATAGACTATAGTAGAACTATATAAATTATATATAACTAGAGATGGAAATACGTAATTATATGTTAATTTTTTATTAAAGAAGTTTTCCCTAATCAAACCTAAACCGTTTCCATTCATGCCGTTCATTATTCCCTGGGGGCAGATCCCGATTCCACCTGACTCCACCCTCCTGTCGCGGAGAGGTAAAAGGCCCCCCCTGGAGCCTCCTTTTCCCCTGGCTGAGCCCCTTTCCCATCTCCCTCCTGGTGTTCCAGCCCCTTCCCGGCTCCATTGCCATCTCTGGACACGGTCCAACCTCTCTTCTTTCCGTTCTGGATCCAGAGCTGAACGCAGGATTTCGGCTGTGACCTCCGCAGTGCCATCCCTGTGGCAGCAGCTGAGTGACATCCCAGCGGGACGAAGATCCCAGGGGGATGATGATCCCAGAGGGATGAAGATCCCCGCGGGACGAAGATCCCAGCGGGATGATGATCCCAGCGGGGTGACAACTCCCAGCGGCGCTGCCGCCACCCCGAGGCCCCCTCCTGTGAAATCCCGCCGTGTTTCCCCCTTTTCCCGAGGCTCACCCTGTTTTCCCCGGCTCCCGCGGGTCCCCCGCCGCTGCCGCCCCCCCGCGCTGTCGGGCGGGCCCCGCCGGGGCGGAGCCGCCGGAGGATGCGGGAGGGGACGCGGGGCCGCGGGGCGGGGGCGGGGGCAGCGCCCGGCCGGGATTCACCGCCGCAGTCCCTCCCGGCCCCGCGGGCGCTTCCTTCCCCCGCCGGGGCCGCTATAAAGGGGGCGGCCGGGCGGAGCGGCCCATGCTCAGCTCGGGGCGCCGCCGGCCGCCCCCTCCGCGGGCCATGCGGCCGCTGCTGCCGCTGCTGCTGCTGCTGCTGCTCGGGACGGTGGCGATCCCAGCGGGGTGACAACTCCCAGCGGCGCTGCCGCCACCCCGAGGCCCCCTCCTGTGAAATCCCGCCGTGTTTCCCCCTTTTCCCGAGGCTCACCCTGTTTTCCCCGGCTCCCGCGGGTCCCCCGCCGCTGCCGCCCCCCCGCGCTGTCGGGCGGGCCCCGCCGGGGCGGAGCCGCCGGAGGATGCGGGAGGGGACGCGGGGCCGCGGGGCGGGGGCGGGGGCAGCGCCCGGCCGGGATTCACCGCCGCAGTCCCTCCCGGCCCCGCGGGCGCTTCCTTCCCCCGCCGGGGCCGCTATAAAGGGGGCGGCCGGGCGGAGCGGCCCATGCTCAGCTCGGGGCGCCGCCGGCCGCCCCCTCCGCGGGCCATGCGGCCGCTGCTGCCGCTGCTGCTGCTGCTGCTGCTCGGGACGGTGGCGCTGGCACAGCCGCGGGACCTGTCCCCCGCGGGCGCGCAGTGCCTGGAGCACGAGTGTTTCGCCGTGTTCTGGGCGTCCCGGTCCTTCTCGGGCGCCAGCGAGGGCTGCGAGCGGGGCGGGGGACACCTCATGACCGTGCGCTCCACCGTGGCCGAGGAGGCGATCGCGCTGCTGCTTCAGAACCGCGAGGGGCGGCTCTGGCTCGGGCTGTCGCTGTCGCCCTCCTTGTCCTGCACTGAGCCCAGCCGGCGGCTCCGCGGTTTCCGCTGGATCACCGGCGACCGCAGCACCGATTACACCAACTGGGCGCCGTCGGGGCAGCGCTGCGGCGAGCGCTGCGTGACCGTGTCCCGGGAGCTGCGCTGGGAGGAGCGGCGCTGCGAGGAGCCGGCCGACGGCTTCCTCTGCCAGTACAGCTACGGAGGCAGCTGTCCCCGCCTGGCCACCCAGCACGGCGTCCCCGTCACCTACGCCACCCCTTTCGGCGCCCGCGGAGCGGACTTCCTGGCGCTGCCTCCGGGCAGCGTGGCGTTCATCCCTGACCTCGGGCTGGAGCTGCGCTGCGAGGACGGGGACGGCGCGGGGCCGCGCTGGGGCCGCGACACGCCGGGAGCGTGGCCCTGCGAGCTGGCCGGCGGTGGCTGCGCGGGGACGTGCGCGGAGGAGCGCGGGCGGCCGCGCTGCTCCTGCCCCGAGGGCGCGGTGCTGGGCCCGGACGGGCGCGGGTGCCGCTCGCCCTGCGAGGGAGCGCAGTGCCAGCATCACTGCGTGGTGGCCGACGGCTCCTTCGTGTGCATGTGCTCCGTCGGGTACCGGCTGGCGGCCGACGGCGTCAGCTGCGAGGACATCGACGACTGCGCCAGCGAGCCCGGCCCGTGCGAGCAGAAGTGCGTGAACACCAAGGGCGGCTTCGAGTGCCAGTGTCACAGCGGCTACAGGATGGTGGACGGGCACTGCCAGCGCCTGCCGCCCTGCTGGGAGATGCCGTGCCAGCAGCGCTGCGAGGAGCTGCCCGACGGCTACCGCTGCGGCTGCCACCCCGGCTACGCCGTGCACCCGCTGGACGCCACCCGCTGCCGCCTGCACTGCAACACCACCGAGTGCCCGGCCGTGTGCGACGCCGACGGGGCCTGCGAGTGTCCCGAGGGATTCATGCTGGACGACGAAGACCAGCTGTGCGTGGACCTGGATGAGTGCGACAGCGGTCACTGCGAGTTCAACTGCACCAACACGCCCGGTGGCTTCCAGTGCCATTGTCCCCACGGCTACCACCTCCACGGCGTCGACTGCATCCCCATCCTGGACGGGGACGGCGAGGAAGCGTCCTCGGGGGATTTGGAGCTGGAACCGCACACGCCTGTCCCCAGCCGGCCCCCGCCGAAAGCGGAGCAGCTGCACCCCGGGGTGCTGGTGGGCATCGCCGCGGGTGCCCTTGTGAGCCTCCTGGCCCTGCTGGCTCTGGGATTCCACCTGGCCAGGAAGCGCTGCCGCTCCCACGGCTCCATGGATTACAAGTACAGCGGCCCCCACGAGAAGGAGCTGGGACTTCAGCCCGTGCCCTCGGCGCAGAAGCCGTAGGGACAGCGGGCAGGACGGACACTGGACACGGGACACTGGGAGGCCGGACTGGGTGACATTTATCCGCCCCCCCTCCTCCCCCCCCCAAGCCCCTTCGCGCCCCGGCTGGAATTTTTGGATGATAATTCGGGAGAAGCTGTGATCACATCACTTCCAGAAATACTCGCTGCTTCCCGGCCGGCTCTGGGAAAGCTGGCGCCGGAGAGCGGGGTCAGCAGAACACCCCGAGGCTGCTCCGCTCCTGCTCCGTTCCCGCTTCTTTGGCGTTCAGCTTTCCTTTTCCCGAGCCGGCGGTCGGGAAAACCGCAAGGAAAAATCCAGGAGGGGCGGCTCCGTGTGCAAGTGACTCTAAATCCGCGGGATGAGAGCACGGTGTGACCAAGGCGGGGACTTTGGAAGGACACCTCCACCCAAATCCCCCTCCCCCGGGCTGGATGGTTTTCCTGAGCTGGGAGGCTCCTGCTTTCCTTTGGGATGGGATTTATTTGTTTTAAGCTGAGGGGAGGAGGAACAAAGATGTTGTGGGAAGCACTTGTCACCTTAAGCCACTGGTGACAGCAGGGTCCCGGCTCGGTGTCACCAAGGTGGGACTCAAATTCCTGAATCCCATTCCCTCTCCTTATTTTTTGCGGGATGTGGAGGTTAAACAGGGACACGAAGGCTGCCGGGGTGAATTTTGTAGGAAAGGTTTGCGGTGCTGCAGAGCCACATCCAGGTCCTTCCATGACTTTCTGCTGTTGTTGCCTTAAATTCGATTGTTGGATTTGGGATATTTTTACCACCCCTCCTACCCACAGGGATCTTCCCTGTTCCCTCATGCAGGGCTGACTCTATCCCAAGGCAAAACATTCCCAGGGGGTGGGATCCAGCGCGCCGCTCATTCCCTGCCAATGGCTGGGGGGGAATTCTGAGAAGGGTCTGGTTTTCCAGCTCCATCCTTCCCTGGGGAGCCAAAGGGGGCCCTGCTCCGGCTGCCGTTGGAGCAGGCACTGGCAGCTTTATGCCAGTGAAATATTATCCCGGAGTGGCGGAAGTTTTGTTCTGTTCCCCCACATTCCTCCCTCCCACCCTATGAACTTCCCAGCGCACAGCATCCCCACTGGAAATTCCCAGGAAAATAAAAATGAGGCATCTGTAGGAATTATGGTTTTCCTGAAAGGTCGTTATCCTGAAGGCTGGATAACTGAGGGTGCTGTCTATGGATCCCTTGGGATGGATTAAAGTGAAACCTCACGGAGTGAGGGCGGTAAATTTGTGGATGTGCCAGGTTTATTTTAGGACAGTTTGGCTGCAGTGGGAAGGAGGGAGCTGTTGTGATCATCCATAATTATCCATGATTATTCAGAAAGAGATATCAAAATATAAAGGTGTCACTTGGGAAAATACCCAAGGGAAAGGAAGGGAAAGAAAGGATAAGGTTTGAGAGTGGAAGGACTTTGCTGACGCATCATCCCACCTGCAGAATCTGCTTCCCATGGATCTTTCCTTGTTATCCAGCTTAAACCCCTGCTTGTTCCTGGGTGGATCCGAGATTTTGCCACCACATCCCCAAAATCTCCTCCCCCCACCTAATCTCAAATTCCCACTGCGGAGTTTTATCTTATCACAAATTCCTTCCTTATGGTGTGTCGGAGTCCTGAATTCCCGGCACTCCCTGTTTTATCCTCTCCCCACCCTGGCCTGCTCCCCCTGGGCCCATTTGTAAATCCTTATTTATTTATTGGAATTTTACCATGTGTGATGGAATTGTCTCATGGAGATCCTGTGTGGACAACAATAAAGTTTTGCCAGTCTGGTTCAGAGGAACTGCTCAGGGATTGTTCTTTCTCCCTTTCCCAAAAATTCCACCAGAAATCCAGGAAAACCCAGGAGCATTCAGGGCAGCACAGGGATGAAAATGTTCCCAGCTGGTTACTTCCCCACTGGGATGAAAATGGAAGGAGTGAGCCATAAATAATGGACACCACCAACAATACCATTCCAAGGACAAAGTTAAACCCCAAATAAACTGGAAGTGGCTCACTCCATGAGACCTCCATGTGATGTTCCTCACCCCAGGGTTCCAAGCTCACCAAACTTTGGTTCTCCTGGGTTTTGGTTTTTGGGTTTTTGTTTTTTTTTGGGTGGAAATTTGGTCCTGGGTGTGCTAAAATCCTGGGAATTTTGGGGAGGGAGGTGTGTATGATGGGATCTCATTCTGCTGTAGATGCAGCAGAGCTGACGGGCTTTGGGATTTTTCCCGGTGTCTCCCTGTCTCTTGGGAAGACATGGGAATTTATTATTTATTAATCAGGAGGGCCATGTGCTCCTGATTAACATTTTGGGATCCTCCCCATGCCCGGTGAAGGCTCCTGGATGCCGGAACAATGGCAATAACCACTCAATCCATGGAATTTGCTCCATCCCAGGCCAGTCTTATGGCTTTTTATTTCGGAGAGTGGCGCGGCGCAACCGGCAGTCAGACCCAGAATCGCGGGCCCTCTCCATCCGGCATCCCCTTTCACCCTGGATTTTGGGGTCCCCTAGAAGGGGGTGGTTTTGGGGAGGAGGGCCCCGGGCGCACAGCAGGGCTGGGGGCGCAGGGGGTCCTGCTGGCAGGGCAGGGGGGGACACACGCAGCCCTTGGCGTCCCCGCGGGGCGCGGCGCAGTAATCCAGCGGCTCCTCCTCGTCCTCGCTGTCCCCTCCGTCCCCGTCGGCGGCGCGGCAGCAGCACAGGCCGGCGTCGCGGCAGCGGCGCAGCACGCCGTGGAAGGAGTTGCGGAAATTCTCGGAGAGCAATCCATAGAGGATGGGGTTGGCGCAGCTGTTGGAGTAGCTGAGCAGCAGCGAGGCGTTGTGCGCGCTGGCGTCCAGGCGGCCGGGCAGCAGCAGCTCCAGCAGCTGCACCACGTAGAAGGGCAGCCAGCACACCACGAACATGGCCACCACGGTGACCACCAGGCGCGTCAGCTTGCCCTCGGAGCGCCGCCGCTGCTGCCAGCCCACGCCCTGCGCCACCACGCGCATCTTGCCGGCCAGCAGCAGGTAGCACAGCGCCATGGCCACCACGGGCAGCACGAAGCCCAGCGCGCTGCTGTACACCACGAAGGCGGCCGCCCACGCCGGGCTGGGCCACAGCAGGTCGCAGGCCACCGCGCGGCCGTCGCGGGTGACCGCCGTGCCGGCGAACACCGGGATGGGCGAGGCCACCAGCAGCGCCAGCAGCCACACGCCGCCGTTGACCAGCTTGGCGACGCGCGGGCGGCGGTAGGAGGCGGCGCGCAGCGGGTGCACCACGGCGATGTAGCGGTCCAGGCTGAGCACGGTGAGGCAGAAGACGCTGCTGAACATGTTGAGGCCGTCCACGCCCAGCACGGTCCGGCAGAGCGCGCGGCCGAAGGGCCAGCGCCGCAGGGCCGCCGCCGTGGCCACGAAGGGCACGCTGAGCATGAAGAGCTCGTCGGCGATGGCCAGGTTGAGCAGGTAGATGTTGGTGGCCGTCTTCATCTTGGCGTAGCGCAGGATGACGAAGATGACCAGCGCGTTGCCCAGCAGCCCCAGCAGGCACACCAGGCCGTAGATGCACTGCAGCACCACCATGCCCGCGATCTCCGCCGCACTCCCGCCGCGCTCCGGGGCGGCCGGGGGCCGGCTGGCCTCTCCCAGCGCCGCCGCTGCCCCTGCCGCCGTGCTGCTGTTGGGGGGCGGCTCGGAGCCGGCCCAGCTGGAGATGCTCCAGAGGGGAATTCCGGCTGCCAGGAGCTGCTCGCCGTCCGTGCTCATGGCGGGAGGTGATCCATGGACGGGAGAGCAGCGGTGATGGGGTCAACCTGCGGGCAGGGCACAGGGGTGAGGACTGCGGGGCACAGAAATCCCAGTGGCCACATTCCCCTCGGATTGGGAACCTCCATCCACCACCCCCTGACTCCCTCCATCAAACTCCTCCCTGCCTGGACACCTCCACGTCATTCCTCAGGCCGGAGCATCCTGGTTTTGTGGGATCTCAGAGGCAGTGGGGTGGGAATTAACCCTGCATGGGGCTCCTCAAACCAGGTGGGATGGCTGGTGAATCCCAGCCTGGCCTGGGAATCAATCCCAGCCTGGCCCAGCAATTAATCCCAACAAGGCCTGGGAATCAATCCCAACCCCGCCTGGGAATCAACGCCATCCACCTTAAGGAGCCCCCGCAAATCTCAAGGACTTCATTCACCCTGCCAAGGAGAAAGCCAGCCGGGAATATTTTACCTTTCAGTATTCCAGGGATTGAAGGAGCCTCACTACTTCCTGCCGGGGGGAAGAAGCCGCTGTGGGAAGATGCTCCGGTGGGATCCGTCGCCAACGGAAAGTCCTACTTGACCTGGATCAGATGACCGGGAAGATCCGGACCTTTTAAAGCGAAAGACAAAGCAGGGATGGACCCGCAGGATCTTCCCCCTCTCCCGCATCCCTATGCCGCAGGCATCGGCTTTCCGTGAAAAAATAAACGCGGAGCAACTTTCTGCTCCAGGATTTCCTCTGGAAAACAGCGCAGCGCCCTCCGCCCTTCTCCCGCCGGGCTGCGCTGTCCTGCGGCTCCCGGCCGGAGGGCCGGAGTATTCCCGCTCCAGCGGCTAATCCCGAATCCCGAATTCCGCATCCCGAATCCCGCACCCCGCCCTCGCATCCCCCCGTGGCTCCGGGGAGAGGCAGGAGATGGAGAAGGAATGGTTGCCTTGGCAACGCATCCCTCATCCCGCATTCCTGCCGCGCATTCCCGCCGCGCATTCCCGCCTTCCCTGCGCTCGTTCCCAGCGCTGCAGGGCCCCCGGATTCTTCCGGCTAGAGCCCCTTCCCTGCCGCACTGCATCCCAGGATTCCGGGTTTGGAGAGGTGAGGACCAACCCGGCCTGGCCCCACATCCAAACCCACCGGGAATTCCATCCCATTTCGCAGTCTGTGCTGGAACTGAGGGTGCAAGAAATAAAAAAGGGAAGAATTTTTTTTCCTTTTTTTTTTTTTTTTTTTTTTTTAAAAAAAAAAACCCCAGTTGCTGGGTTTGGGGCTTTTTTTGGATGAGAAGGATCCTGGGAATCTCGTCCCTGGCAGCAGCTCAGCTCAGGTGATGGAATCATAGAATAATGGAATCACAGAATCATGGAATCAAAGGGTAATAGCATCATGGAATAAAGGAATCACTAGAGTTGGAAAAGCCCTCTAAATTAACAGAATCCAATGTTAATCCAGCACTGATCCACGTCCCCCAGTGTCACATCCACATGAATTTGAATCAGTCCTGGAATGAGGAGTCCACCACTGCCCTGGGAGAGAAATTTTCCAACCTAAATCTCCCCTGAGGCCATTCCCCTTTATCCCGTCTTTTGTTCCCTGGGAGCAGAGTCCAGTTCCCACCTAATTCCTGTCACGGACTTGTAGGGAATGAAATTCCCCCAGATCCTCCTTTTTTCCAACATTCCCTTGTCCCTCAGCTCTCCCTTATCTGATTTATCCCAACCCTGGCTACGAAGTGAGGGAGCAAACTTGCCTCAGTCATCCCAAAATCCCAACATAAGGAATTTTTGGGAATTTGGAGCTGGCAGAATGAGCCCATTTGGGGCCCTACTGCCAGGATGGGAATAGGGATAAACATCCATATGATACTCCTGGGAATGGGCTTGGAAATCCTGGGAAAACAGGTGGATTTTCTCCTCGCTGCTTAAATCTATGACCGTGGTTAATGGTGCAGCTGGCACTGATCCCACTGGGAATATCTGGGATCCAGGGAATGCTGACACTCCATCTCCACTCCCAATTCCATGGGGTGTTGCAGTGGGATAAAGGACAATGGGATCCCTCTGTGCTGACACAGAAATTCCCGGGTGCCAGCCCAGGAGCTCCGGGCGTTCCCGTTGCAGCCGGAGACCGGAAAACATGGAATTAAACAATGGAAGCGGCCGCAGATTCCATGGGCCCCCTCCACCTCCCGGAGCAACAGGAAACCTTTAAATGCTCCTTTACTGTAAAGGAGGAAACTCCGCCATGGATTTGAGCCACACAGTGGTCCCAGAATTCCATGGAAAACTCTGGGTTGGGAGGAGCAGGAATAACCTTGGCTCCAAAGGGAAAATTCCAGGTGATGGGAGCCTCGCTGTGGGATAAGGATGCCCTGATTAGGATTTCTTCCCATTTCAGGAACATCCATAAAATCCTGAGATATCCCCAGCAGGAAGGGACCTACAAAGAGCCCAGCTCCTAAAAATCCTGGGATTCTCCTCAATCCCACCCTCAGGAGATGCCCTAGATCCTAACCTTGGAGACTGCTCTGATGCTGAGGGAAAAGTGGAATTTTCTCGGTGCATCCCAAGGAATGTGTAGATCTTGGGATCAGCAGATCTGGGATTTTAAGATCTGGTGTTTGTAGGCAGCCTCTAAATCAAGGAATTCCAGGGAAACCATCCTGGGGTTTAGTGGAATGTGTTTTTCCCGATGTCCAAGAGAATTGTTCAGCTCTTCTTATCCTGGAATCAGTTAATTTTCCTCTTTATTCCGATTATCCCTGTCCAGAGATCCCTGTCCTGCTCCCTCACTGGGGCTGGATCCCAAATCCATGCCAAGGACTTGGGAAAAGTGGGAAAAGTGGAGAGGAGCCTGTGGTTCTGGGAATTAATGAACCCTTGAATGGGGTGGATTTTTCCTGGAGGAATTCCCATTTAAAGGGTCCTGCTCCCGTTTTCCAGATTAACCCCCTATGGAATCCCTTTTCCACCCCTTGGATATTCCCTGAGCCTCCAATTTCCCGAGGAAAACCCGAAACGTGGAGATTTGCTGCCCTCTCCTGGGAGC